ACTACTACTATTACTACTACGACCACTAGTACAACAACTACTACGACGACGACTACTACTACTACTACTACGACTACTACTACGACTACCACTACGACTACGACTACGACGGCGGCACGGTGTCGTCGGCGGCTAGCACAGATAGTGGAATGCTCACTGTTCATTGCACATGTGGCGGCTTCATGCTTTGAGGTTCGTTTGCATGACAATCTCGTGGTGGTTTGTGTAGTCTATCTTTTCTACGACCACGTGTTTGTTTTCATGTCAGGTTTCGAAGGTTCCCGAAGGCTAAATCCAAGTGCTTCTGCTCGCAAGACGGCCCATGCAAAAGCCCACACCTTAGCTGAGGCTTCGAGAAAGGGTTCGAGGACATCGCAGATGGCATGAGTATCTTCGACTTGTCTCAAGGTTGGCACCCTGACTCTTGCGCATCTCTTGTAATTGTCTTGGATTGTGCAGTCACTCACTATAAGTGATAGTGCGAAATCCCAAAGCAGGCAACCATCCTAATTCTCTGGCCGGCTACATCCAGAGCGCTGTGAACGCCCTTGAGCCCGAGAAGTTGGAAGGCCCTGGAGTTGGGGCCATGGAAATTCAAGGACGGCGGTTCATGAGCGTTGTGTCCGAGGGCTGGCCGCCTGTAGTTTTGTGGATGAAAGGATCTAAGCTTCGGTTGGAGGTTTCGGTAGTTCGAAAGCGAGGTTGTTTGGAGTACAAGGCTTGATAATTGAACTGCGGGGGAATCACGGCGGATTTCCATCGATCGGTGCGCTGTCAGCTTATGCATGCACGATTTGCCACAGGAGAAATTAGCCTCGCCAATGATTAGTACTCTTACCAGTAGCAGTATTAGCAGCACGGACGAATGAACAAATATCAACACGCAGAGACACTATGGCAAACCAATGCCTTGGGTTGATTTTGATCAGGCTGACTAGGCAGATCAGACTCTCACGCTACGGTGTTGTTGCTGATATTTGCAGCAGCAGCATTCCATAGTCGAAGCCGCTAACAAGCAGGTGACCTTCTGATGATTCGCGACCTGGAGCTTTTCGGCAATACCAACGTCGAGGCGGCGCTTGAATTTCAGCCTCTTGCTTGCAAAAGGCTCCAGGATCTCTAGGGTTTAGTCTACCTTACCTGACTCTGTCGGTTTTTGTCTGTAGCTCTCCAAGCGGCTTGTCGCGGTGACTAGAAATGCAGGCTGGTCCTTGTGCATGTATGCACAGGTTTGTGTGTCGATGTCTGTCTTCGAACCTTGTGCTGGCAGCTGCCCACAACTGTTTTCCTCGAACGTCTTCGCACTTGGGCCTGAGCTATGTCGGTTAGCTCTCTGTGTTTAACAGGCCTTGGGCACGCCACTGTTCGAGCAGTTTTGTTTTGCTGAACAATCCAAGGTTCGTGGCTTCGAAGCTGTAGCTGTTGTCATTGTTCTTCTTGCTGTTGTGTTTCTCCATGCTGCTCCGAGCAAGGACGGACAAGATGCTCGATGCCATTGTAGGCACCTTGCACATCAATCCTGCCCCACCGACGCTGATGCTAACAGCGAACAACCTGGCGAAGTTCTCTGCCCCATGCCAGCAATTGGCACACGACCGAGCTGATAGCCGGTAGACTTCAAGCATAGACGAAGACATTGTTGGACAGGCTTCATGTCCAATGCAACGTCACTGCATACTTCGCAGAGGGTCTTGAGCGACTCAAAGCCCGACTTTGACTTCCTTTAGCATTCCAGGCACTCACTTGTACACTTTGTCGCCTCAACGTTAAGACCATAAAACTGGATCAGTACTAGTACTTGTCCTTTTGCGAGACAGCAGGCCACAATGCCCTCCATGAGGGTCAATTCCACAGACGTTGCCAGCCCAAGAACTCCGAATCCTAAGCCCGTGCCCGTGGGGGACGGTTGTGTTGCTGCAGTTGACTGGGTGCTGAGCACCCTTCTTGTTCGGGAGACCCAATGTCCATTGTCGCCTATCTTCACCCGACATAGTCCTAAAGCCCGAATTCCGAAACCCTGACCCGAACCCCCAAAGGTCTACAGCCCCAACTCTGGACCCCAAACCTGAAAAACACTGAACCACGAGCCGGTCTCAGGGAAACCGACTTGTTCGCAGCTCAAAGGGCAGTGGATGCTCCAAGAGCTCGCACAGTTCCCGCCTCTCGGCTTCTTCGCGGGTTGGGATTTGTGGGATCTGAATGATTAGTGGATGCCTTAAACTACAATACCCTACAAAACCGTATTCTAGTCGTTAAGGCCCCTGCGTATATGATTTGGGTTTGCCAGCTTGGGTTTGAAAGGCCTTGGGGCCCAGAGTATTCTGGAAGGCCGCCAGCATTTGCTTCGTTGTCCAGGGTGTTGGCGGTGGTGGTGGTGCCGCGCGTCGTCGTCATCGTAGTGTGCAGGATCAAACCCGCATCTTAAAGGAAATGAGTGTAGCCGTACAAGATCAATGCCAATAAACATTAACAGAATCGTGGACAACTGCTGAATGCATTCAGCCATAAGGATCAGCGGGTATAGACTTGACTTGCTACAAGAAGCATTTGAGGCACGACCCTCACCAGCTTTTTTGCCAGGTAGAAGCATGAACGATATAGAATCACTGCACATGCCTCGGACTGTTGCTGGCGGATTACATCCCCTCCCTCAAACCAACCAAACACAAGTCTCTATGAAAGCAACAAGAAACACTTGCCAAAAGAGATGTCATAGACTAACCCTAACCCCCCAGGTAACTACTATAGGGCCCTAGGGGCTCTAGGGCCCTAGGGGCTCTAGGGCCCTATATAGGTACCTGGAGGGTTAGGGTAACATGACATACTCTCGAACTTTGTTCCTCTCGGCCAGGTCGCCGGCGCGGTGGTGGAAGTGGCAAGCATGTTCGCCAGGGTAGTATTCTCGATCTTCGGAAGCAGGTTATGGCTCTGTAAGCTTGGAGTCCAGTGGCACCTGTGCGTTGGAAGAACAGTTTCGTGCGTCTTGCTCCAATGGGGCCTCCCACCAATTGCTTGACATTCCAACTTCCCACCTTCTCGTGTAGTGCTGTCCTTGTGTTTTATCAAGTATCCTCTACGGATGCCGTGGTACCCTGTCCTGAAGCAGGCTTGCCTGCGTACAAGAGCACTTCCAAGTTGCCGTTTGGTTTTGTCCTGTTTGTGCGCTGGGGCACCACGGCTGCCAGACACGATTGAGTGTCCCTGGGCCAGTGCAACACTGTAAACCCTCTGTTGATGGGTGCAGCAGCAGAAGCAGCGATGTGGCGCTGCGAGTTAGTGTTAGTGATAAGTGTGCAAAATTGGAGCAAGCATGTCAATGCCACAGTACATCTTTGACCGGCTGCAGCGAGGGAACTTGGATATGACAACTGCCACTGACAAAGTCGCGCGCATGTTTGAGACAGACTCAGAGCAGGATGGAGGGAAGACATCAAAAGCAAGCGTTCGTAAATGTTGAGTTATAACCCTAACCCCCCAGGTACCTACTATATAATGTACTAGAGCCCCTAGGGCCCCATATAGTAGGTACCTGGAGGGTTAGGGTACGTTATGAAGTTATGAGTTTGCAGTAGATCCAAGAGGAGGCAATGCCTGTCAGAGTCTTCTTCCTCCGATTGCTCTGGTATTCTTTGTGAGCTGGCTGGTAATCAGGACGGGCCCTCCAGGCCCTGGCAGCCGATGTGGGTCCATGTATTCATAGAGCATATACATGGGCCCTAAAGTACCTGTATAGGGACTACATTAAGGCCAATGTATATACTATATGGGTGCATGGACCCTTGGGGTGCTGTAAGGAGGATGAGTCCTGAGAACCGCTTGCAAGAGCTGGCCGCTTGCCTATGCCAGAAGTGAAAAAAAACGGCTGCGTATACTTGCAGTGGTTACAGACAGACCGGTATGAGACTGCGTTCAGGGTTCAGTTTGGGTTGAGAACGCCGACTGCAACAAACTTGGCAATGCAGCTGGTAATCAGGGAGTCAGCCCGTTCCACTTACAGCACCTATACCCAAGTGATGTCCATGAATCGAGGATTGTTCTGCATTGCCGTGCAAACTAAACACTACTCCGATCATCTGTTGGATCAAACGCGGCTGTTACAGCACAGCCCACAAGTAACATTCCCATCGCCGGTCGATTGATTGCTCGACACACCCGTGCGGCTTTCCCCTGCTGGAAACATCATATCATAAATCTCAAGTTTGATATCCTCGCATGCCGAAGCAGGCATCGCCATGAGTTGATTGCGGACGTAGCCCAATGGGCACAAGCGTGTAGTTATAGGAGTTTCGGATCCTTTCATCCTCCTTGGTGCTGCTTCTGCTCCCGAAGGGAGCGTAGCTAGCGCCGCGCAGAAGCTTGCGTACTGAATTCCTTCTGCCATGGAGCTTGAAGGGGTGGAGGCGCTGTGCATCTTTGTCTTGCAGGGTATCACTGCAGCAGCTTTGTGTGCGGCTTTGTTACAATCTCTATGGAGGGGTCAGCTGCCCGACATAGTTGTTCAGATGCAGTATGGCTTCTGCAGCCTTAGAGATCGCTGGACTCAGCAGCCGAAGCCCAAGCCCGGCAACGCACGCGTCGAGGCGAAGTTTGTCGACACTTTGTGCAAACTTTTGATCAACGGCTGCAGGGTCGTCGTTGTGGCTCTCTTTCTGCGATTGCTTGCCATTCAAGGCCCTCTGCTGAACCGTCAGAATCATCAGCTTCATGCTTCGCTGGACGTCTCCAACCTTATCTCATATCCAATAGTGCTCTTTCTGGTCATGTTCCACCACAGGGCCATTTCCTGCAGAACGCTGGATGTTTGGTACGTCCTGCTGCAAACGCTTTGTGTGATTCCTTTGCTTTGGACTGCAGCGGCGGATGTCACCAGCGTCTCCCTCATCACTTTGCTTCCTCGCGTGATGCTGGGTTTGTGCCCGAAGCGTGGGTGGCTTCCAGTTCTTGGGAACGTGGTTCACTGGATCTTAGCTGTGAAACAGGTGGAGTTCCAATTGCAAAGTGATGTCTTTCTCGCACAGTCAGCCGAACTTGTTCTACTATTCTCCGGCGTGTTCCCCCTCAGGCATGCACTGTACGAAAATGTGAGGATGAGTTTTGAGTTGAGCACGCGCACCATTGAGCTCTCAGCAGTTTCGGGACTGCTTCTTGGATACTGTGATGCAGTGGTCGAAGTTGATAGCAGCTTGAAACTCACAGACGACTCTCGGCAGTTTTCCACATTGCTTCTGCACGGGCATGGCATCTCTGCTGGAAGTTTGGCCGGCTACGACTTCCTCAGCTTTTTCCATGTGGACGACCGGGAACACATCAGGATGTCATTGGGTGCGCAACACCAAAGCACACAAGCTTTGGCTCTCAACGCGCGGATGCAGGATTGCTTGGGCAACTTCGTGAAAGTGGAGATCTTGTTTACGTCCTTCCAGAATGCAGATGGCCAAGAGTGTCGCTTGGTCGGAATGCGCGAGTTCCAAGACTTCAACTCCGTGGCAGTGCCTCTTCCTATGGGCCCTGTGCCTTTGGCTGCTCTAAGAACACTATGACATTGCCGCCGGTAGTTACCTTCCGAGTGGGAATCCATAGGACACGCAGTGTGCATGGAACGAATCGACCCAACCACAGTCCTCAGGATGCCGTCCCTCGACAAGACTGAATGAAGTGTGAAAATTTCTAAGCCCACGCCGCCAAGAAGAGGATTTATTATTTTTCAAGCAGTCAAGAGAACCTTAGGCACACTCGCCTGCAGCCAGCCCGGCCAGCCCTCCGGAGGACGCGTTAGGGGCTGTTCAGTTAGCCTCCGGCAAGACAAGTCTTACGCGCAGCATATGCAGCAGCTTTTGTTTCGTTGCCAGACGGAGGACGCCTGTTCTGTTGCATTTGACGCCACCTCCTTCGACATCCTCTCCCTGTCCGCAGCCTTCAAAAAGCTTTGCTACTTGGTGCTTACGAGCATGTCGTCCTTCTTAACAACCTTTTACTCCAAGCTGCCCAAGTCGGGTTGGCAGGATGGCTGCCGCCCGCTTTCCGTGTCACAAGCTTTAACCTATACAGCAGATACCATGTTGCAGAGTGTGACATCACGCGGGATGACTGCCCGTGCCTACATCCAAGCGCACATGCAGGCATAGGCCGTAACACAACACAGGTACCAAGCATTCAACGGCACATGAGTACACCCAGGAAAGCTGACCAGTCGAGAGCTGGAAAGCAGGCGAAGAGACACTGAAGCAATATGTAATCTGAGCTACGGCAGGCATGGCCTACAAGGACACAGAGAAAGCCCTAAGACTGAAGCATTCAAGCAGCCCGGGACTTGCGAGTACGGTTAGTGTTCACTTCAAGCCGGAGCTTTCCGATCGCCCTATCAGGTCTTGAGAACGGAGCTGACGACATTTCGGAAGGCATGAGCATCTTCGACTTGTCTACAGGTCGGCAGCCTCAGATGCCCCGAAGCATCAAGCACGGTTCCAGGGAGACATCGCTGACGTCACTAATTGTGGTTTGGCGAGCTGAGGAGGCTTTGTGTCTTATTGACTTATTGCCACCGTCGTCGATATCTTCATCATCGTTGCCCTCAACACCCGTCCTCGCCATCAACATGTTCAACACCGCCAGCATACTCAGCACTGACATCATCGTCATGTTCATCACTCTCATCAACATAACCGACATCAACATCACCTCAATCATCGCACGGGTCATGGCTTGCGTATGATTAAAGTTAATACGTTTGTATTGCTATTGGTGCTATCAACGATCATCATCCTCGACATCCCGTCCGATGTCCCTCATCACCCACATCACCGTGGTCATCCGCCTCCTCTCGTCAAAACTTACCGTCATTGTCCTGGCCCTGGGCCTCCATCCCATGCAGGCAACGATCCCGCCTCCCTCGCCGGCTACATCCAGACCGCTGTGAACTCACTCGAACCTGAGAAATTGGAAGGCCTCGGATTGAAGCTTTCGCCTTTTTGGGATGGGGGCTTCGTCGGCGAGTTGGGGGTTGTAGGGGCTGCTGTTTGCTGGTCCGTGCCTGGTGGGGCTGTGACGGCGGTGGAAGGCTTGCTGAGCCTGAGAATCCTCGATGGGTGCCAGTTGTCGCCTGGTCTAATTGCGCATTCTCGCGACTCTTGTCGACTGCAGAATCAAAATGCACTGTGTGTGACGGCACCTTGACTTGCCTGCGGGAATCGTTTCCAGAAGTGTTATAAAATGATGCGCGCCACGCACGCGTTGTGGCAGCGAGCTTTTCGTAGGAGTTGCAAATGCGCGCGCGCGTGTGCAGGTTTGCCATGACTATGCGTTTTTCTCGCCTCACGCGCAAGCGCACTGTCACAGGGCACAGTGTAACCTCAGGAGGGGCGACAAAGATGCAAACAGCAGCTCCAGACCCAAGCTGGAAGTAGCCTTCCTGCTCATGGATTCGAAAGCAGTTCTTTGGAAGGAACTGCCCATAGGCCCCCATTTCAGGGGACCCATTTCCGGAACACTCGAAGACTTTGGTGTTAGAGCATTCTAGCCAAGGGTATGTAATCGAGATCGTCAATAGCAAGAGGTCTGCAGCACACCCTGGAGCCCTTCGCCTGAAGTGCTTGAGTCTTTGGAGCTTCTAGGCCAAGTTCTTGCATCTGTCAAGCTTCTTGTTGCTTGTTGATGCAGGCGACCTCTTGCTTCTTCGCGATGTGGTTCTCTTTGGCACGACCAAGGTCCAAGCGACCCTTCAGTTTCAGCCCCTGGCAAAGTCAATGTGTATACTTGTACTTGCATGTGTACTTGCGTGCACAACATGAACCTGACTCTTTGTTGCAGTGCGCTGGGCCTAGTGGGCCTAGTTGTGTAGCACATGCGTAGATACATACATACGTACAAACATACATACATACATACATACATACATAGATACATATGTACTATTACATACATACACCATCTATACAAACATTATAGACGGACAGACATGCATCCGCTATATAGATAGATATATATATATATATATTTAATATGTGTATATACGGATAGATCGATAGATAGATAGAATGTGCGTGTGTATTGCATGTATGTGCACATGCGTGTACATACATATTATGTATATCTCTGTCTCTCGCTCCATATATGTATATATGTACACATACATGGACATACATGCATGTTTCTGTGTGTGTAGATCTGTAACTTTGAGTACATGCTTGCATGATATTGCACGCATGTGTTCATGTTCATGCATGAATCTATGTCGATGCGCATATGTACAGCTGTATATGCCCATACACGCATACATACATTTGTACATGCATCCATGCCGATGTACTTCGGTATGTATGTACGTAGATAGTAGGTGGGACTGAAAACATGCATGTATTATGTATGTATGTATGTATGTATGTATGTATGTATGTATGTATGTATGTAGTTTATGTATGTATCTACGTATCTCCGTATGTCTGCATGCATATGCGGAGGGAGAGGGAGGGGGAGGAGAGGGCGGATGCAAGTGTACAGGGTATTTATTCGGCTACCCCTGTGTGTATACAAGTGATTTCATACATCTTTCCTGTTGCTGCTGCATTTGCACCGAAGGTAACGATGTGTCTGTGAATCGCTTGCATAGCCCATGAAAGAGAGTCTAGTTGAGCCAGTTGAGGGCCACTCAATTCTGACGATGCTGCAGGTTCAAGAAGATCATCGCACAGAATAGGTTTATGTCAGTCTTGCATGTCCTGTAGCACGTGCTGCTCATGCATGTCGAAATATGTAGTAACCGCATTGCAGTCTGTATAGCTGGAAAGGTAGACATGCATTCAGAGTAGGTCGTTGCTTCTGCTGGGCTTAGTTGTTAGCGGCTTGCTCGGGGACACCCGAAATGTCAAAGCAAGGCTGCAGATGGTCATGGTAGCGCACACCTGATTCGGGCACCTTTCTGCTAATTCACAGCCGGAAGCGAAGTCTTGTGTAAGTAAAGCTGTAGCTGTAACAGGCGACACATGGACCGCAAGCATACATGCTGCCTATTGAAGGCCTGCGCAAGCCAAACTCCCAAACGCGACCGAGGACGGACAAGATGTTGGATGCGCTCATAGGGAACCTATGCATCGACGCTGCCCCACCGACAATGACGCTGACAGCCACAAATCTGGCAAAGCTGAATGTGCCGAGGCGATATTTCATGCATGAGGCAGCTGGTACTGCATGTAGGATAGAGAGTCAGTCTGATGCAGACGGCTACACTGAGCAGCGGGATCGAGAGCCGACATGCACAGTCGGATTAGCCACTACGGACTTCCGCTTCCTCATGACTAAGCCGTTCCGAGGGGCACCGACAGCGTTGTGGCTCCAACAGAAGCCGAAGCTCGAAGAGCTCTCGCAGTTCCCGTCCCTTGCTTGGTCGGGTTTCCGGGGAAGGGCGGTTGAGCGTTCTGTAGGGCTCTGAGACCGCGAAGACGCGGAAGCCTCACGCACGCCAGAGTGGAGCCACCGAGTAGCCAGGTAGCAGAGCGGGTTGTCTCCGGGCCTCCTTCGACTTGGGCAGAGCATTCAGTGTAGTAGTCGAGCACACCCGCATTGCCAACCAAAATAAAGAAGCTTTCGACCAGGTCGGCGTCGAAGCGGTGAAACTGGTGAGCATGTTCGGCAGGGTAGTATTTTCGATCTTCGGAAACAAGTTATGGCTCTCTAACATTTATTTGTATCTCGAGCGTTGCGATCAGTGCAGGCCCATATGTATGTTGTATATATATATATATAAATACACAGACCAAATCGATGTAGGTGTACATGGTCCGCTATGTTCTAGTCTTCTACTCAAGCGCCAACACAAGGAGTTTAGAGTGTATTCTGTTTAGCTTGCAATCTGTAGTGGTGCTCCTCCAGACAGACTTCGATATGTGAATGACACACAACTTCCTTGTTGCCTGAAGTACTGCAGCGAGAACACAACAGTTGTTACTCACGCCTGCAAGTGCATATATGCCTAGAGGAACATGCAGCTAGCTAGAAGCAGCAAACCTTGTCCAGTGTGTACCAATACTCTAAGGGTCCATGTACCTGAATAGTAGAACATTGGCCCTAAAGTACCCATATAGGGACTACATTAAGGCCACAGTATGTACTATTTGGGCACATGGACCCTTAGGGAATACAGCACAACTGCCAGTTCTTTGTTGGTGTTTTAAGCGATTCAGAGCCATACTCCGAGGCGTGTCTGTTTTGAGCTCCTCTGCATAACATGCAAGCCTGAGGAGCAAATTCCTACGCCCCACTCGTAAAAGGTTTAGGGCTAGACTTTATGGAGTTTTGCACCTGAGAAGGCAACAGGCAGATATGAAAATCTGCCGCCAGGCTCCTGCTTCGCGAATCGGAGTTGGACAAAGCGAGCTGAACGTACATTTCCCAACTCCGACAAGCTCCGAAATAGGCCTCTATGAAAGCCCCAGCCGCTGACAAAGTCGCGAAATTCTTTTAAGGGGCGCCTTCTTTCGAGGCCTTGAGGCCCGAGCCTGGCAGTGCTCGGTGCTGACCTGGGCCGACCGGGCCCCGCAAGTTTCTGTGCTCCGGTTTGGGAGGGTGTGCCTCCAAGTTCACTTCGCAAGCGGATGAAAGGCCCAAAGAAAACCACGGCAAAGACGCATGCATGTTCCGTCATGAGTGCTGACGCTGTCAACCTCCCGTTGCTGCCAGTACGAGGTTGCTCATTAGTTGTAAGATCGATCGCAGATGCCCGCGCTCCTCTTATTCCTCGACAGTCCTTGCTGTTGCGGCTCTTTTGGCACTTTTGCTGTAAGACGAAAAAACTTTGCGGAAGTGACTAGAATTTGTGCATCTCGTCGCAGTGTGGAACTCAACAGGTGTGAAGCACAGAGATAAGAGGACCTGAGCATTGTAGCTGGACTGAAACCTGTAGCATGCAGCCCGACGATGTGCTGCTGCCCTGCATTCTGGTCCTGCAGTTCTTTACAGCACTGACTCTGGCGGTTCACCTCTACAAGTGCATTCGACGGAAGGTGCCTGGCACGGCTGATTGCTGGAAACTGAAGGGGGGTGGGTATGACACCACCGCATTTGCGTGGAAGGGTCTTGGCAAGTACCACATACCGTATGTAATACGGCCTCGACACCAGTCCTTGGCTTCTCCCCTAGCAGGCCCTAGCAGCAGGATGAATACGCCGCCGCAGTGCTGCTGACTGCCAAAACTGTCCCCGGCACAACAAAGTCAAGCTTAGAGTACTAAGTGCAAGCACAACAGGAAAACGGGATCTGGTATTATCGATGGTGATCTATGCGGACTTATAGCGAGTAAGAGGCATTACAGGCACATGCTTTGCCGGTCGAAATGCATGTCTTGCTTCAGTGGTTCCTTCCATCCCACAACAAACCAGCATGTCCTATTTTCTGTGACGAGCAGATGCGGAACATTAAAACACACGCTACTTTCATGCTTGCAATAGATGCAGAACAAGTTCGACAACGTCTTTGAGCCTTCGAGGGTCGGAGTTCGTTCGGGGGCCTTCTGGTGATGTTGTAGCTTCCTGACTTCGGGCTTTGAGTTTCTCGGCTCCGCTTGGAGTCTGAGGTGCAAAGTCTGTGTAAACTGGCTGCATGATCCAAAGAATGTGAGAATGAAGGCTGGAAGTTCTAGTGTAAAAGGCAAAGCGCTTCTGCACGGTGCTATGTCGCTGACCTTGAGAACAGGATCCACGCGCGTGCATTGTGTCTATACACCGGTCTAGACTCTACTCATAATCTGTACACGCTTCAGCGCCTAGCCTGCCTTGCTGATGATCTCGCCCTGCAGTTCGTTCTGTCATTTGACATGTGCAGTCATAGGCTTGCCTGCCGCATGAACCGCCGTGTTCTGCACCACTGGAGCTGCCGGCATTGGTTTGAGTCTAGCCCGGGGTAGGTCGACTGACAAGGTTTTCGTGTCTTCCGCAGGAGCTGCCGAAGTTCTTGCGCTACGTGCGCGCAGCCTACCTCCGATGCAGAGACATGCTCGGCAGCGACACCCGAGACACCCGGGACAGATGAAGCTCGGTCTTCTTAGCATTGGCCAACATGTGTGTACACGCATACACAGACATGTATGTTGCATGAATGCATGCATGCATGTCTGTATGTATGCATGCATGCATGCATGTATGTCCTTCTTACGTACGTAGGTAGGTATGTAAGTATGCATGTACATCTGCACCCACACACACACACATATATATATATATATACAGACAGACACACACCTTTATTTCATGTGCATATTTGTCGGGGTGCACGCGCCTGCCGTTGATCCTCCGTCGCGAGGTAAGGAGCTGGTATCATGCATTGGCGGACACACCGTGACATGTTCCCCTTTTGCGGTGCCGAGCTTTCAGTTTGGGAGTGGCAAGGTATGGAGCAGCGAGTGAACAGGAAGTTCCATGAGACCCTGTGCAACCTTCTGGCGGCCAGGCAGATTTTGGGCTGGTTTGCTTCACAGATTAGGAGGTGCCTGGCTCTTGTTGATTTTGGTTTGCACTTGGGATACCTGTTTGTGCAATTCTTTTCCCTCAAGTAGGGTTCCCTTGGTCTTCAGAGCGCTCAGGTTGCCGGAAGCAACCTCATGGTGATAGTCCTGTTTTTCCGGCTGAAGCTTGGCAGCAGGCGGTGCTTCAGCAAGGTCTTTGCCTGAAGAAAACGGGGTGCAGGAGTTTTCAGCCCAATCGTTTTCAAGCCTGCTCATGATGTACAATCCGATAAGAGTAAGGGGGTGGGGGGGGTGGGTTCTCCGAATGGCGCTATTAAAGTTCGAAATCGGGTTCGGATATCTCAGGAGTGTCTACCAGTGGCACCTGCTCACCAATGCCAATCACCTGCTGACTCCGGCTCTAGTGCCTTGGCCCTTTTAGTGAGCTGGGACGAGATCCGAGTTGCTTCGGACATGATCTTGTTCGGAGCTTTATGCCTCTTTGGACAGGACATCTCTAGCGTGGCCGGGTATGCAGTGGTCCTGTTCATGATCTCCTTCAGGCACGGCGGTTGGAAATGGATGAAATGGAGAGGGTTCTGGCTTGGCATGGGGTCGGGTTCGAAGATGCAAGTAGAGAATTACAAAGGCCTTCTACATTCTATCAAGGTAGCAACAGTCAGAGACCGCCAGCATGGACAAAGCCGCTTTCTTCCAACGTCACCTCGGGAATTTTGCACGACTCGTTGCAGGCTCAGCGTTGGAGATGCCTTCTCTTCCCTACCCTGAAGCCTCGCAGGCAGCTAGTCACACCACGGAGCCTCGACCTGTGGTATTTCGCGCTGCAGGGTGCCTTCGCTCGCATCATCTCCAATCAGGTGGGTTCCTAGGTTCGAGGCTAGAGACGTGCGAAGGCTTGGTCTTTCATGCGATCAAAGAGGGTGTGCCATGCACGTTTTGGGGCTATGTCTGCTCCCGCCACTGTCCGGTGCGTTTCCGCCACCAGAAGTTGTGCACCCGCAGCAGTGCCCTGCATTTTGCGGTGGGATTGCCGCCACAATGCCGATCGCATTATGGATTTCACATCGCTCCGAGGTGTTAATGGGCTTTCTGTGGGTGTAGTCCGGCACTCCAGAGGTAGGCATGGGAATTCTGAGCTGAACATCCGAGGCTTGAACATTTTGCCCCTAGCCGTGGCGGATCCTGCCGACATAGCGCCTCAGCTCAAGCTGGCTCAAGGCTTGCGATGCGGATAGTGATGTAAGCCAGACCATAGAGCACTGAGTTGTGTGAGCTGGCGCCCTTTTTTCGTACATTCTTTTGACCGTTTGACTTGATAGGTACATCGCTGTTGGCAATGTTGTAGGGGAAGTCCGATCCTGCTTCAGGTCGGCACTGTGTGTCCTTTGTGTCGCATGAGTGTTTTTGTTGCGACACTTTCTGCGTTTGACACGGCGACACTTTCTGCATTTGTCACGGCTCGGTGTCGTCATTGTCAAGTTGGCTGAACTCTTTACAGTTGGATGCTCATGCACCGCCTTCATGCCCTGTAGCTCCCTAGGTGTCCAGTACACTGATTCTTGTCTTCAGTTGACATAATAAGGCTCAACAAGGTCTTTCCCCAAAAGACATAGAGCACAAAGCATGAGGATCACAATGACTTTCCCGACGACGGAAAAACGGTTGTGGTAATGATAATGATCATGATGTCTTTACTGATGATCCTTCAGATTGTTCAAACGATGATGACGATCATGGTCTACGCGGCGAGCATGGCAAATTGCGAGGGCCTTTTGTAGCACTACGAGTATGGTCTTGCCGGCGACCGGCCGTGCGCAAGCATGCAGACCAAGATAAGCCGGAGTCTTTTCAAGCTGCGATTTAGACCAGAGCAGCCTCTCCAGCGAACGAAGATGCTTCAAGCAATGATCAGAGAAAGCAGTGTGCCCAGGCCAGCCTCTCGCTGATCACGCTCATGCCACGCTTTTTGTGTGGTCTGGCCCCGCGACATGGGTGGTGTGCAGTCGTGGGGAACTTTCTCCATTGGCTGCTTGCTCTTTATCAAGTTGGGTTTCAGCTCAACTCGAGCACCTTCGCTGCACAGTCGCTTGAATTCGGCATTGTCGTCGCCGGGATTCTGGCGGTCCGACGGCAGATGTACATAAATGTACGAACCAACCTCGACCTCAAGACCCGAATCTTTTCTGCATTGGTTTCTATCTTGGGATTTCAGCACAGGTTCATGGTTGATTTGAAGCGCAGCATTGCAGGCGAAACCTAGAGTCGGGTTGCTGCATGTCCGGATCCTTCGTCGTCTTCCGTGTCAGCTCCACCAGGTCATCGATTCCTTCGTCATCCCCCATCATCCTTCGGCATCTTCCCCATCCTCATCCTCCTCCTGCTCCTGCTCTTGCTCGTCCTCCTCATCCTCCTCCTCATCGTCATCATCATCAGCATCATCGTCATCGTCATCGTCATCGAAGCCATCCCCATCATTGGCATTGTCATCTAAACTCTTATGAACATTGGATCAGTGTTAAATCACTCATAGGGCTTAAACCACGATATGTTATTTTCGTCATCCTTCGACTTCAGACATGTGTACTCGCTGTCTACATCGTGCTCAGCAGGGTCAATACCATCGCCGTCACCCTCGTCATAAGCATCGTAATAACAGTGGTTTTGTGATGTTGTTCTTGTCGTGGTTGTTGTCGTGCTTGTTGTTGTTGTTGCTGTTGCTTCTGCTGTTGTTGCGGTTGTTGCTGTTGTTCTTGTTGTCGTATGCCACAGTTTCACACTTTCCGATGTTTGCGAAGGTGCGGGACGACCAGCACGAGCGTTTTGCATTTCGCATGTTCTTTTTGCGGTGTTTTCCTGAGAAGAACCTGTTCGACTTCAGGGCTGCGCTGTGCCAAAACTCGACTTTTCACTCATGGCAGCTTTGACTTCTATGGGTATTTACAGTCATCCGTGGCTTCTCCGTTCCCCTTATTTGCTTGCAAGTCAGCTGCAGTCTTCTTTGGACTTGCCGTGTTTGTGTTTCGTTTTGCTTCCGTGCAAGGGTGGGAAGGGGGAGGGGATGGGGCTGGGGGGTTGATAACGTCCATGCGAATGCGGCTTGCATCTGGTGTTTATTTTGTGCGTGCAGAGGTGGTTTAGCGTCGTACATACCGTGGTTTTCGTTGTTTTTATTAAGAGCCCAGCCAGCTTCTAAGCTGTGTTCCTGAAACAGATTGCCTTGACATGATGCTGATTTTGATGATCATGAAGTTGATGCTCCTGATTACCATGATGTTGGTAAGTATGATGAGAATGGTGCTGATGCTGTTGCTTGTTCACTCAGATGATAACCATGGCGATGCTGTTAAGTATGATGATAACAATGACACTGACAATGTTGCTGCCTGTTGCTGCCGTTTTCCTGTTACTTGCCAGATGCTCCCACCAGAAAAGTTTCGCATTTTGTGGGTTTTCCAAAAAAAGGTTTAAACATGAGTGCAAAACTGAAGAAACCAAAACAACGAAAACCACACACGGTATCGGTATTTGCGACACTTTCGCCAAGACCACGCAAAAAATATCGCAGCACATGGATCAAAATGTGCAAATCATCCTCTTGTTCACGAAAACCACACTCCACTCGAGGGTTTTAGGCTCTTGACCAAAAACACCTCAAACAAAAAACGACAAGCACCCTCCGCGGCGGCAGATGCAACTGTTGTTGTTGTTGTTGTTGTTGTTGTTGTTTGGGTTGTTGGTGTTGGTGTCGGTGTTGCTGGTGGTGTTGGTGTTGGTGTGGGTGTTGGATGGTGTGGCTGTTGGTGTTGTGTGTTGTCGTTGTTGTTGTCTTTGCTACTGTTGTTGTTGTTGTTGTCGTTTTTGATGTTGTGGTTGTTGTTGTTGTTGTTGCTGTTGCGGTTGTTGCTGCTGGTGCTGTTGTTCCATGCTGTGGGCGTTGTTGCTATAGTTGCCGTTGTTGCTGTTTTTTTGTTGTTGGTGGTGGTGGTCGTGGTGTAGGTCGTAGTGTTGGTGTTGGTGTTGTTGTTGTTGTTGTTGCCGCTGTTGCGGTTGTTGTTGTAGTTGCTGTTGCTGTTGCTGTTGCTGTTGCTGTTGCTGCTGCTGCTGTTGTTGTTGTTGTTGTTGGTAGTGGTGGTCGTGGTGGTGGTGTTG